GGCCTAGACCCTTCATCAGAAAATTTTCTGATGAAGGGTCTAGGCCCGAAACGTCAGCCTTCCTGCTCCTATGATGCTGATCAGATAATCTGAACCTGTTTTGTTTGTACTGATATTGATTGAGGGATAAATATTGGGGTGAGGACACTGGGGACAACTCCCCTGCTCTTTGTCGAACAAGCAATAGGCTCTCGATTTGATTTATTTGAAAGATAGCAGCTGTAATACTGCTGTATCAGCCTTTATTTTTGTATCCAAGCAGTGGAGTGGGAATTGAACCCAAAGCATTGCAGTTCAACGATGCGTATGCCATTGCCCCTGCCGTAATGATGCGCCAATGTTTGGGTAAAATGTGACACATCAACTAGATTCCTTACCAAGCACCTCATATTACAACTGGAACAATCGAACCATCCTCATAAACATTCAGGAGCATCTCCGAATCAATCATGGTGAATGCTCCGATCTTCAACATAGATGGAGGATTAAAGTGCTCATGGGAGTAGAGAAGCTTTGGCATGTCTCTCTGAATCAGATGTTGACACTTGATTTGATTTTTTATTTGTTGCTAATACGTGAAAGAAAGAAGACACTGTGGTTTTCCCAAAACAGCAAGGAAAAATTCCATGCAAGTAGCACAGCAATTATTTTATCAGACTAGTGAAATCCAACAGCGTGATGTTGTGTTATGAATTCAAATTCTTTCATCTTTTCAATTTTAGTTAAACAAGTAAGCAATAGCGAGCATGAAATATGGCTGTTGTGAAACCTGATCTGATTTACTAACCTTTTGGGAAGGAAATCCACAGCCTGTACCCGGTCTCAACTATAAGTGACACCAGACCCACAACAATGTGGTTAACTCTTAGCTTGCCCTGTGAAATAGCCCAGTAAGTTCCCCAGTTAACAATGGTATTAACTTGCTTAGATCTTTAAACAAATGCCACAGAGAGTCAATATTCTAATTGCTTAGTTTGATTTGATGGCACTGGGAACATGAATTTGCTCCAAAGTGAAATGGTTCTCAGCACAAGTAAGCTAAAACAAAGTTTCACCACCATTTTATCAAAGGACATATAGAGTTTAGAAGGCAGAGATGAGGGTATATTTTTGCTCTTGGAGGATTGTGTGACTTTGGAAATTTCTGCCTCAGAAGGTGGTAGAGGTGGGGACGGGAGGCATGGGGTGGGAGGATATTGAGGATTTTTAAGGTGAGGGACAGGTTTTTGATGGGCAAGGAAATGAAGGATTAATGGGGATAGACAGGCATGTGGAATTTGAAATACAAATACATTAGCCATCATCTTATTGAATGGCGAACAAGCTTGAGGGGCTGAATAGCCATATTCTGCTCCAAATTCATACACTCGCTTGTTATAAATCCTTCCCAAGTCTCGCGATTTCTTCAATCAGGAAGTCGACATCAGATTTGTTAGTAGCTGGATTCGAAAAAACCATGCGAAAGAAATTCACCCTGTCTCCTTGCGGTTGGTATCCAACCATCAATGACCCTTCCTCCATCATCCGAGCTTTAATCTTTGGCGCCACCTGAATATCAACAAAGACACTAGTTCACAATTTCCAATGAAAAAAAAGCCATATTCAAAAGGAGATTCTTGGGGTCTTCTGATGGGAATTCTGATTCAGCGCCGTGTAATGAAAGCACAATGACCTGTCATGTTAACTCTAAATCTCTATGTGTAAATGGACTTGGACTCAGATGGACCTTTTCAGCATTTCCTGTTTCCTTGTCAGTTCTGGAAGAACCCGTTGGAGTGGCTGACACAGTTTTAACTGTGGCATGGGTTAATTGGCAAAATACTCTCTGATTTCATTTGCCTACTCCCAGATCATAAGAAAATAAAACATGGGCGTGAATGCTGATATTGTCAACAAGATGCATGTGGAAAGCTCACCATTTGCATTATTTGAAATGACCAAATATTCTGTTGGAATATCAATTTTAAATATAAAAGCTACCCTCTTCAAGAATCTTAGATGGTCTCAAAGCATTTGGGATGTTTTGTCAGATGTTTCTTGTCTTTTGAGGCTAGATCAGATGGAGTAAGTGTTGAAGAAAAGGAGAACAGGTGCTCTTGGCCAACAGGATAGCTGTGTACAATGAATGAAAATATGGGTCAGGATTTTCTGTAGAAATAACAGTGATCGCACTGCTATCCAGATAGCAGCAGCCATCGTCTCACTCTCACCTCAGGGAGAGATGAGCGGGTGGTGTGTTTAACCTGAGGGTCATCACACCTCAGGTGAGGGGTGAGATTGAGAAGGCAGGACCTTCATGGTAACCTCAGCCAGTATTGGAATTGAACCAGAGATGGTAGGAACTGCAGATGCTGGAGAATCCGAGACAACAAGGTGCACAGCTGGATGAACACAGCAGGCCAAGCAGCATCATAGGACTTGGCCTGCTGTGTTCATCCAGCTCTGCACCTTGTTGTCTTGGAATTGAACCCCTACTGTTGGCATCACTCTGCATTGCAAACCCGCTGTCCAGCCAACCAAAATAATCTACTGCTGTCTACATACAAATTGAAAAGCAATGTTTGACGATGTCTATGTCAATATTGGAGGTGTACTGCTCCTCTAGGAGCAGTACACCAAGCAGACATCATCTTCTGAAGAAGTATCGCATCAGGTTCAGAATGTTAACTTTATTTCTTTCTCTACCGATACTGCCTGACCTGCTGAGTTTCTCCAGCGATATCTGCTCTTACTTCAGCTTTCCCGCCTCTGTGGTGTTTTGCTTTTATTTGAGTGAACCAAATGAGTCTTCATGACAAACAAAACATGGTCATCACTAGGCTAAATTATAATTCCAAACTGTTTACTTTGAAGTCAAATTTAACCATCTGCCTTGGTGGAATTCAAATTGTTACCACCATGTCACCATTTCCCCACATTTCTGTGGCCCTGGCTGTGTCTGATGTATGGAGACTGGCTAAGGACAATGAGCAGAAGGAGGCCATTCAGCCCATTAGGACTGCTCTACCTTTCTATGAGATTTTGGCTGATCTAATTATCCTATTTTCCTGCCTTTTCCCCACAATTCTTGGTTCTCCCTACTGATTAAAAATACATCTGTCTCAGCCTTGAATATGCTTAAAACCAAGCCTTGACAGCCCTCTGAGGTGTGAGATTTCATAGATTCACTACCCCTGAGAGAAGAAATTCCTCCTCATCTCTGTATTAAATGGGTGACCCCTTCTTCTGAGATTACACACTCTGGACTTCCCCACAACAGGAAACGTCCACTCTGCATCTACCCTGTCAAATCTGTAAGAATCTTATAAGCTTCAATGAGGTCGCCTTTCATTTTTCTAAACACCAATGAGTACAAGCCTGACCCTATTCAACCTCATAAGACAATACTTCTAAATCATTTTATCAGTCTAGTGAAACCTCTCTGAGCTGCTTCCAATGTCAATATATTTTTCCTTAGAGTAAGAGACTGAGACAGTTTGCAGAATTCTACATTTGGTTTGACTAGTGCCTTGCACAATTTAGCAAACCACCCTATTTTTACACTTCATTCCATTTGGTTTCCCTATCACCCACTGAACACAAATGCTACCATTTTGTGATTTGTGATTCTCAAATCATTCTGTGCTGTAACTTTCTCCATGTAATTAACATTCAGATCCTCTATTCTTCCTGCCAAATTGCACAACTTCAAATTTTCCCACATTTTATTCCACTTGCTTAGAGCCCCTACAGTGTGGAATTTGAGCCCACACTGATACTCCAAATAGCATCCCACCCAGATTGACCCCCAACCCTATCCCTGTAATTCCCATGACCAATTCACCTAATCTGCATGTCTTTGCACTGTGGGAGGAATCCCACGCAATTATGGGGAGAATGTGCAAAATCTACGCAGACAGTCTTCCGAGGCTGGAATCGAACCCGGGTCCCCGGCACTGAGGTAGCAGTGCTAACCACTGAGCCACCTTCCCACTTTCTCATTTTCTAATCTCCTTGTAACCAAGTCCCTGTAAATGACAATAGTATCATATGCATTAACCTCTATTTGTGTCCTTAATGCATTCAATATGTAATGTTCTGCTAATGGGATAAAGGATTTGTACTAATGTGAGAGAACATACCAGAGATAAATATTCCAGAATCCTGCAAGAAAACATTCCATTCATGTCACTGTTTTAGGTTTCTTGAGGCCGTGCGCTATCCCATCTAAGCTGTTTAGTGACAATTGGGAAACTGCTTTGTTTAAATTGTGCCCCCTGCCAAATGGTTAAAATAGTCTTTGGCCATGGTGTTTGACAGTGGTGAGAGTATCTAGCTTACTCTTGCTTGTTGTCAAGTGGAATAAATAACATCACGTGGAAACTTACCTGATGAAGCTGGCTATCCTTCTTTGCCCTTTCAGGCATTTCTCGGAGACTTGGTGGAATGTACCAGAAGCACACATTGGTGTGCTTGGGCTGTGTGGGAAGATGAAAATGTAATAGACAAAGTGCACGTTGTTATTCAGAAATGGTTAAGAGAAAGTGCTGATTGATACGTCAGTATTATCTTTTGCCATTCTGCAGAGTAGAATCGTAGAATCCCTACAGTGTGGAAGCAGGCCATTTGACCCAATGAGGCTGCACCAATCCTCCAAAGATCATCCCAACCAGACGCACCCTATCCCCATAACCCCACATTTCCCATAGATAACCCACCTAGCCTGAACACTATACACAATTTAGCATGACCAGTCCACCTAACCTGCACATCTTTGGACTGTAGGAGGAAACCGGAGCACCCAGAAGAAACCGACACAGACATGGGGACAATGTGCAAACTCTACACAGACATTCACCTGAGGGTGTAATTGAATCCAGGTCCCTGGCACTGCTGAACCACCCTTTGAGTAATTCTTTGATAAGCTCTCCACCAATAATGTATCAATCCAAATCACAAAACAATGCAACCAAGTAGACAATTTTAATACTGAAGGTGGTGAAATTGGACCTTCACAAAGCGGACAATTGCCAATTCAGCTTGCTTCATACCCAACTTCATCAAGGTCATCAAGTCCATGTTGAGTCTCTTTGGAGCAACAGGTCAGCCCCATTCCTCCCCTGTATCTCTATAGCCCTGAAATGCCAATTTCCATTTGAAATCTTTGATTGTTCCTGTCCTGCTCATAGGTAGTAGGTTCACTCACTGTGTAAAGAACAGTTCCCTCCCAACCAATGATATGTCTTGCCTAATATCCTTATATCAACGTTCTCCCAGCCTTTGTGCCATAATTAATGGGAGCAGGTTTCCCTGGTCTAACTTATGTCAATCCATAATCTTGTGCACCTCCATCAGATCTCCCCTCAGCTTCCGTTTCTCAAAGGGAAACAATCCCAACTTCTCCAACCTGACTTTGCAGCTCAGTGTCCTCAGTCCTGCAGCCAATTCCAACCAGACATGTGGCTAAAGCATGTTATCGGTTTCCAATGCACTGCAGCAATAAAGGAGAAACCTTTAGCTGAATCCCATGCTGGAGAGACCTCATGTTGTGATTCTGGCCACTTCTTTGAGTGATAAATGGAATACAGAGTACCACTGAGTGATGGGAAATCATGATGTGTGTGTGTGCAAGCTTCAATTGAGTGACTGCGGGGCAAAGCTGAGTGCAATCCAAAGTTGATTCCACAAACATGATCAAAATGATAAGAGATCAGTTTGGGCACATGCATTTCCCAGTGGTAATGGTGAAAGCTTAAATAAAGGATTTCATCCTGTCCTCTTGGCTGAATAGAGGGATACGGGATAGAAGAAGAGCAAATTATTTTCAATAACGTTTTCACACAATCAATAAGGTGCAGGAGACAAATTGCAATCAACTAACATGCATCATGATTGAAAACTAACATTTAAGGCAACACAGTGACTCATCTGTACACTCGTGGACTGATTTCCAGTCTGCATTCTCCCAGGATACAGCTTCAAAGATGCGAGGCTTTCATTAGTAAATCAGAAAAGGACAAATGATAAGGGTACGATCCCTACAGTCATTTTAATAGATAAAGAATCATTCTGAAACATGATCCCAGAGGACTGAGTTTACCCTGGGTATTCACAAAATTGTCCATTTAAGGTGACAAGCAGCTTCAGAATTTAATGATGGGTTAATTTTTCACTTTTACAGTCTCACTGTATATCCAATTTTCTGTTAACAATGTAGAATATTGGTCATGTTGCATAATGAGCATATCATTCTCCTTTGCAATATGTAATGACTTGCTCCTTGCAAAATGTCAAAAGCAGGAATTTAATGCCCTGTGTATTATTTTAATTGTAATCCAAGGTGTCAAGAAGGGCAGGGTATTGCTCTAATTTATTGCTGTGTAAATGCTAAAAGAGTGTGCATGTGTGCATGCCGCAGTTGTGATGAAGAGGAGTTGACATCAATTCAGGACAAAAATACACAAATATCTCCAGTGTGGAAAGGAGTGGGCAAGCTGAAGAACCATTTCTAGGTCTTATTTTTCCCTTTATGGGTTGAGGGTATCACTGGCTAGGGCAGCATTTATTGCTCATCCCTAATTGCCCAGCGGGCAGTTAAGAGTCAACCACATTGCTGTGGGTCTGGAGTCACATGTAGGCCAGACCAGGTAAGGGTGGTAGTTTCCTTCCCTAAAGGACATTAGTGAACCAGATGGGTTTTCCCCCGACAATCGGCAATGGATTCATGGTCATCATTAGGCTGTTAATTCCAGATATTTATTGAATTCAAATCCATCATCTGCTGTGGTGGGATTTGAACCCAGGTCCCCAGAACATCTTCTGGGTCTCTGGATTAACAGCCCAGTGATAATATCACTAGGCTATCACCTCCCCAGTGTTCCAATGCCTGCCCAGGGCAGTCCCTAAACAATCCAGACAGCAGGCTATAGAGAGGGCTGTTAGATCTTTGTGAATGAATTGATTTGATTTTAAAGTTAGTTTTTTTCAAAAGAGTGCAAGGACCAGATTCAACTAAACGGAGGCTGGTCTGTATGAGGGGAAAGTAATTTGCACGTGGATTAGTGGGATAAGCTTATGTTGAAGACAAAGCCAGATCTTTGCCAGAACCATGTTATAACAACATTTGTATAATATTTCAATGCTCTTAAACAATACTTACTACACAAAAGTGCTCTGGTTGGAAACTTACTTGATCATCAAACACCAGCTTAAAATCATTTCTTCCTTTGAGTTTGCTGTGCAGGTACTCTGCAAGTTCGAGACATTTATTGATTTGCTTCTCAAAACCTGATGTGCCCTGTGAAGTGTAACAGCGAAAATCAATGTACACCACACTGTGTTGTGATAAGAAATGCAATTGTAGTAAGTTCAGTCACAAAGAGAAGCACAAAGACGGCTCATTGGAGAAAAAGAACTTGCATTTAAATAGCACCATCTACACCTATAGGATTTCCCAAAGTCCTTCCCTGTCAGTGAAATATTTTTGAAATGTAATCATTGCAAATGTGGGAGACACAGCAAACCCTCTCAAACCAGCACTTTAAGAGATAAATATCAGGTAAAATGCATCCCTGTTTCCTACAGCTCAGCCAGTTTTGTATTCTGTCGTGTTTCTATTCCATGACTTATAACCGTTCTCAGAGATCTGTTGTATGGGACTGTATTGAATGTTTTCTGGAAGTCCATGTATACCACATCAACAGTGTACTCTTATCAACTGTCTCTGTTACGTCTCAAAAAATGCCAACAAGGTAGATAAACATAATTTCCCTTTTAGAAATCCATGCTGGTTCTTCATAACCAACACACCATTTTCAATGTGACTATTAATTCCATCACGAATAATTGTATCTAGAAGTTGCCCCAGCACTGAAGTTAAACTGACATATTTGTAATTGCTGATCTGATCCGCAAAACCATTTCTGAACCAGGCTATAATGTTTTCAAATCTCGGCTCCTCTGGCACCTTCCCTGAGTCTAGTTAAGACAAAAAGATTATGGTCAATACTCCTGCAATTTCCACTCTCATTTCTTTCAATATCCTTGGTCCTGGGATTTTGTCAACTTTAAGTATCAACAGCTCAACAAATACATTTTCCTTATCAATTTTGAATCCTTGTAGTGATTAAGTTTTCTCCTCTGTCACTATGGTGTGAACAACATCTCCTTCCTTGTTAAAGGCAACCGCAAAATATACATTTAACAGCTCAGCCATGCCCCTGCCTCCATGTGTAAATCCCCTTTTGTTCCCTAATCGTCCTTTTACCAATCTTTTACCATTTATGTCCCAAAAGAAGATTTTGAGGCTCCCCTTTATGTTGGCTGCCAGTCTTTTCTCTTATTTCCTCTTTGTTTTTCAACCTCTCCTTTGAACCTTCTCGATTCCTCTTGGTTCTCAATGGTATTTTATCCAGTCATAAACACACATTTCCTTCTTTGTCTTGATTTCCATTTTCTTTGTCATCTAGAGAGCTCTGGATTTGTTTGACCAGCTTTTCCCTTTTGAAGAAATGTGCTTTGACTGTATCGGGACCATCTCCACTTTGAAGATGAGGTAAGGCTTATAAGGTAAGGTAAGGTAAGGTAAGGCTTGTCCTTTAGCACAATACTTCCCAACATATCCCTAAGCAAGGATCATACCCTTAGACCAGCCAGCAAAAATGCTACTAAAATGATTTTTACTTATTTATTTGACAATGGGATTTCAGTGTTGCTGGTTAGGTCAGCAGTTATTGATGTGGAGTCACATGTAGGTCAGACCAGGTAAAGATGATGGATTTCCTTCCCTAAAGGACATTAGTCAACTAGTTAGATTTTTGTGACAATTGACAGGGGTTAACTTTTAATTCCAAATCAATAGATTATCATCTGATAGCTCATGGGATTTTTAAGCAACTTGTGTCATTGTGTGGAAGTACTACAGCTTTGTATGGAATAAAGGGGCATCACGTTTAGTGAACCAATGCCCAAATTGTTGAGTGTCATTGAATTCTGGGCCACAATGTTTCAACCAAATAAGGTTATGGTGGGGGGTCTTACAAAACCATAGGAGGTGGAGGAGCAAAGAGACCTGGGAAAACAAGGCATGATGGGCCAAATGGCCTCTTCTACACTGTAACAATTCTGTGATTCTGTGATACCAATGCATATGTTGCAAAATATAACAGTATAATTTGATAAGACCATAAATAGTGCAAATAATCTACCGGAATTGATTTCTAGAGGAATAGAATACAGAAGCAGGGGAATATTGCTGAACATACTTTGTCTGATGGTTGGATCACACTTGGAATGTGGGTGCAGGTTTGGTTTTCACATGAGAGAAAGGGTATTGCGGGGACTGTAGATAGAAGAGGTAGCGAATCACAGGGATAGTTTCCAAAACTGGGTGGACAATCACCAATGAGGAAGGGCCGAAAAGACTGGAGCTTTTCTCCTCTTGCAGAGAGGTTAGGAGATCTGACAAAGGGTGATATCTTCATGGAAGGGTTCAGCTGTATCACTTTGGGGAAATTGTTTCCACTGGACTGAGGGGAAGTAAATATTCTGTAGTCACTAACAGATCAAATAAAGTATTTTAGGGGAATCTCTTTGCATTGTGAATGGGGAGAATGTATGACTTGTTGCTACTTGGACAGAAAGGAAAGATATATTGGGGATGGGTTGTTAAATGATGAGGGAAAGGGAATGGGTGTGGTGGGATATTCCTCAAGAACAGAAAGAGGTCATTCCAATAGGAAGAACTTTGTGTGGAGAATTAATACCAGCATGGATCAGATTGGCTGAATAGCCTATTTCTGTGTGGCTATCTATCTCTAGGAGAATTGTACATGAGAACAGTAAGTGTTCACCTAATTAGTAACCCACAGTATAAATTCAGAATTAATCTTCTTCAGTTTCTTTCAAACTTTTTTACCTTTGCTTTCCACATCAACCAGAATTTGAAGACATCAACATGATGGCCACACAGAATTGTTTTATCTCCTGTATCATATGATACATCATACAGCTTGTCATTCTGAAACAGATACTGTGCACACATTTTATTGCAGTCCTGGAGCAAACCCTGCCAAAGATCATAAGAGTTGATAAAATACCAAAGCAATGCTCACTATATGCTGCATTTCGCTTCACAATCATTATCTTTTATTTGACCTTGGAAGCTTAGATTTCAATTCTTTGTGCACTTTCACTATTTCCCTCCTGTGTTGGGGGCAGGTTAGGAGCAGTAGTTGTACACTTCTGGGGGAGATAGGATGCTGCATCAGTGTTAGACTCCCTTACCTTTCATGCTCCAGTCATTACATGGATGTCATCAAAACACAGTTGAGCAAAGGGAACATTTGGGAATGTTTCATTAAATGCCCATCATTCAGTCAATTCACAATGGCTACCTCAAAGCTTCTGCTCATCTCGACAAAGTTCCTTAAAGGGACAGAACACCTTTGCCTCTTGTCAGCATGGGATGCATGTGCTCGTTTCAGAAGTCACATGTGTCTGAGTAGCTCACATCCCTCTGGCATCAGAAGACCAATAGCTGGAAACTACAACTGGACAGTTCGAGTTTCCTGAGCAGGAACGATACCGTTATAAAAAACATCCGCAGTGCATAGACAGGAATAAAATTTGATCAGTGCAGGCAACACTGTTCTCCCAATGGAAGTGATCTTCCAGTTGTCAGCCAGAAGCTTCCCCAAAGGGGAAACACAGACTTCTGAGGCAGCTTAGACAAATTAGAAAACTGCTCTTGTCTCTCTTTGGGGTCTATCCCCACCTATCATTTCTGAAGAAGGGTCCAGACTCGAAATGTCATCTTTCCTGCTTCTCTGATGCTGCCTCGCCTGCTGTGTCCATCCAGCTCCACACATTGTTATCATTTACTCCTTATCCTCTCCCCCAACACTATCTGCTGCATGTAAACTGATATTTTCCACACTCAGTGCCATGCAGTGTCACATGCACACACGTGAACTCTCTCTCCAACAGCATCGCATCTCGCTGGCTTAGGGCTGTACCACTCCACAGTTCCACTTCATCCACCGGTTCATTTGCATGTTAACAAGAAACATTTCCTTTCTGGCATCAAGGTCCACAGGATGCAACAGCTCAGGGATACCCATGGCCCTCTGGAACCTTCCTCCCCTCCCTTTCCCTGACTCCATCCCCTCCCCCAACTCCACCTCCTGTCAAGTATTCACCATCCCTCTTAACCTTCCGCTCTCCGAAGCTGAATGTTCTGTACTCAGCAAACGCCTCAGCTTTATTCCTCTGTGTCCCCACCTTATCGAATTTCAGGACAACATGACGTCGAACTCTCCTTCATTGCCTCCGTGCCCATTTCTTTGGACAAGAGTCCTTTCCCTGTCCCCCAGACCCCTTTGTCCAGTTCCAAAACTGTCCCTCCACCTGGACCCCTCGCTCTGGCCTTTTAACTGCACACGATCTGTTCATTGAGAACTGTTGACGTGATATTGATTGCATCAATTTCTCTGCCCCCCACTCACCCAATCTAACTTATCTACCCCCGAACAGACTGCACTCCATGCATGTAGATCAAACCCTGACTTTGTTATTAAGCCTACCGATAAGGGTGGTGGTGTTGTAGTCTGGCATACTGACCTCTACATTGCAGAGGCTGAGTGCCAGTTCTCAGATACCTCCTCCTATCTTCCCCTGGACCATGACCCCACCATGGAACATCAGGCCATTGTATTAGCTATGGTAACTGACCTCATTTCATACAGTGATCTCCCCCCGACTGTCTCCGAGCTGATAGTACCCCAGCCCGCACAGCTCACTTCCACCTCCTTCCAAATATCCACAAACAGGACTATTCGGGCAAACCCATTGTTTCAGCCTGCTCCTGTCCCACAGAACTCATCTCTTCCTACCTTGACTCAGTCTGTTCTCCCCTGCTCCAGCCCCTGCCCACATACATCTGTGATTCCTCTGATGCTTTACACCAGTTTCTGAATTTCCAGTTTGCAGGCTCCAGCTGCCTCCTTTTTACCATGGACGCGCAATCCCTTTACACATCCATCCCCCACCAGATGATCTCAGGTCTCTCCGCTTCTTCCTGGAGCAAAGCCTGAACTGTCCTCACCCACCACCACTGTCCTCCGTTTGGCCAAGCTCGCCCTCACCCTCCACAGCTTCTCTTTTAACTCCTCTCATTTTCTTCAGGTCAGAGGGGTGGCCATGTGTGCCTGCATGGGCCCCAGTTATGCCTGTCTCTTCGTGTGTTACGTGGAACATTCCTTGTTCCAGTCCTATTCTGGCCCCACCCACAACTCTTTCTCTGATATATCAATGATACCTTCGGTGCTGCTCCTCTCTCTCATCCGGAACTGGAAAAGTTCACCGATTGCGTTTCCAATTCACACCCTGCCCTCACTTTCACCTGGTCTATTTGTGCCTCCTCCCTTCCCTTCCTCAACATCCCTGTTTCCATTCCTAGGGATAGACTGACCACTAATATCCACTCTAAACCAACCGACTCTCACAGCTACTTGGACAATACATCCTCGCACCCTGCTTCCTGTAAAGACTCCATCCCATTCTCTCAGTTCCTCCATTTCCATCGCATACGTTCCAATGAGGCCAACTTTGACAAGGGAGCCTCCAAAAAGTCCACTTTCTTTCTCAACCGAGGATTCCCTAGCTCCGTTATCAACAGGGCCCTCAACCGGGTCTGACCCATCTCCTGCACTTCCACCCTCACTCAATCTCTTCCCTCCCGCAACAGCGATAGGGTTCCCTTTGTCCTTACCTACCATCCCACCAGCACCCACATCCAGAAGATCATCAGATGCCATTTCCGCCACCTCCAGCAAGACGCCACCACCAGACACATATTCCCCTCCCTTCCCTTGTCCGCCTTCTGCAGGGACTGTTCCCTCCGGGACACCCTGGACCACACTTCCTTCACCCCCAACACCTTCCCACAGCTCTACGGCACCTTCCCCTGTAACCGGCGAAGGTGCAACACCTGTCCATTTACCTCCTCCTTCCCCAGTATCCAAGGGCCCAAATGTACCTTCCAGCTGAAGCAGCGCTTTACCTGCACTTCCCACAATCTAGTCTATTGCGTTCGCTGCTCACAATGTCGTCTCCTCCTATATTAGGGAAACGAAGCGTAGACTGAGTGACCGCTTTGCAGAACATCTATGTTCTGCCCTGAAAAAGACCCTGAGCTTCCAGTTGCCTGCCATTTTAACACACTACCCTGTTCCCTGGCCAACATCTCTTTTGCAAGCTTGTTGCACAGGCTGAAAGAACAACACCTCATTTTCCACTTGGGGACCCTGAGTTCAATAATTTTAGGGCCTAAACTTTTCCATGTCCCAGCCCCTACGCCAAACACCAGGCCTTGTTATCACATAGCCTGCCATTACACACTACCTTGTTGTTAGTTATGGACAGTCCCCATTAACAGCTATTCACCCTCCTAATCAGGTAGTTATCAACTCCTATGTCTATCCAGCTGCTCTTCTCTCTCTTTGGGATCTATCCCTACCTATCATTTACTCCTTATCCCCTCCCCTCAATCCTTCTTCCGCATATAAACCGACAGTTTCCTAGCTACTGCAGTTCTGCGGAAGGGTCACTCGACCTGAAACGTTAATTCTGATTTCTCTTCACAGGTGCTGACCTGCTGAGCTTTTCTTTTACTGTTTTTGACTTGTCAGCCATTCAGCAACCTTTGTTCCTATTGTGTAGATTGTTGTGATCATTTGAAATTTGGCATTCTTGCATTTGTCCTGATGCGTACAAGACAAAAACAATTTGGACAACATGTCTCCCTTAACAGCAACTAGCAAAATTCTGGACTCGCCAGCAATGTTTAAAAAGTACCTTTTCATGGATTAGAATTGCTGAACACTGCAGAGGGTGACCCATTATCTTGTGTGGATTCCATGTTACAGAGTTGGCTCTAGTACAGAGAATAGTATTACGTAACTTGCAAAACAAAATCACCACATACTGTATACATTTTACATTCATAATAATTTTCATGGGTGTTGCTACAAAAGAATAAGAATTTACCTTTCAATCCCTGTTAATTTATAACGATGCTTCTGTGACATCAATAAACCACCACCCCAAGCCCCAAAAAAACACAGAGATTAATTTAATTTAATAGTACAATGCGTTTCTCAAACAAAACACCAGAGACATTGCTGCTATGGTGTGTAAGCTAAATACTCAGAAAGCTAAAATTACACGTAGCTGGAAACACGTAGCTCTTAAAGTGTTCACTCTGTTTGAGTAAGCGGCAGGTAAATATTGTCCATTGAACACTTCTCGAAGGACATGCATAGTATAGCAGAACCTGAATTATGGCCACAATGGTTTGAGCAGTTTGTCAAATTCAATAAGTAAGACCATAGGATGTATGAGCAGAAGTAGGCCATTCAACCCATCCAGTCTTGTCTGCTATTCAATGACAGAATGGTTGATCTAGTCATTGTGATGGCAGTTTGTCGCTTGGTTGTCTAGTATAAGCCCTATTTAGTCACTATTTCAACTCTGGGATGGTGAAACATGAGACTTGTTAGTCACTCAGCCACAACAGAGGAAAACAGGGCTGAGGTCTGGTAACCCCCAGGTTTCACTAACAGGTGAGGTGTTGTTGCTACCCCTATAAAAATTGGACGGCACATGCTCACTTGTGAGCAGAAAAGAAGGAGCGGGGTAGGAGGCTCCAGCAAAAGTAAAAAGAAAAGGAAGACCTGCACTTAAATAGCACCTTTCAGAATGTTCCAAACTGATTTTCAGCCAATGAGTGAGTGTTATCATTGTTGTTGTAAAGTAGGAAGCACTGTAACCAATTTGCACACAGCAAGCTGCTACAAACAGTAGTGTGATAATGACCAGGCAATCAGGTTTTTGTGAAAGCCAGGACACCAGGGAGAACTGGCCCTGCTCTTCTTTCAAATTGTGTTGTGGCATCTTTCGTGCTGACACAATAAAATCTCATCCATAGTGCAAACTTTTGCCTGGGTATTGTTGCGTGAAGGGTCTAGGCTAGGGCACTCAGAATCCCTGAAACACTCCAAGGAATGCTCAGGAGGTGATGGCACAGCGGTATTATCATTAGACTATTAATCCAGAGACCCAGGTAATGTTCTGGGGACCAGGTTTCAAATCCCATCGGGGAAGGTGGAATTTGAATTCAATAAAAATCTGAAATTAACTCTAATGATGACCACAAAACCATTGTAGATTGTTGGGGGAAAATCCCATTTGGTTCACTAACATCCTTTAGGGAAGAAAACTGCAATCCTTACCTGGTCTACATGTGACTCTGAGACCACAGCAAAGTGGTTGACTCTTAACTGCCCTCTGGGCCATCAGCAATGGGCAATAAATACTGGCCCAGGCAGCAATGCCCACAAATCATGAGTGAATAAAACCAACTTCCCTCAAATGGCTTCTAATCTCACCTGATCTGACCTGCTGGGATAGCTACTCTCTGTTAAAAGACTGAGAGGTTAGATCTATAATGACATGATCTAATTCTTGGATAACTTTTTTTGTTAAAATAAAGGTGGTGCATTTGGTGAGGGTGAAAACAGATTCCAGGATTAGTCATGGTTCCATGACACAGAGTTCGCACTGAATCTTACTGCATCAGCTGAACAAAACAACTTTTACAGGCAGCCCTCAGGTCATGAATGGATTCCACTCCTGAGTACATTTGTACATGAGTCAGGGCACAATACAGTACAGTGTAAAATGTCTGTCTGTAAATATGACTGAATGTTCACATGTCAGATCCATAAAAATTAATAGCATCATGGAGCCTGTTGGTAAGTCTGGGACAATAGTCAATTGTTTTATGGTCACATTACTGATGATTTCTGTTGGGTGAGTTCTATTTTCTGCTACCCTGGTGGGATTTGAACCCCTACCCCCAGAACATTAGCTGAGGTCTCTGGGTTACTAGTCGAATAACATTACCTATGCCATTGTCACCTCATAAAGATAACCTCACCATAGTCTACCAAGGATAGTAGGAACTGCAGATGCTGGAGAATCCGAGACAACAAGGTGCAGGGCTGGATGAACACAGCAGGCCAAGCAGCATCATAGGAGCAGAAAGGCTGACGTTTCGGGCCTAGACCCTTCAGTTGCTCTCCCATTAGAGAGACAACTGGTGGTGGTTTAATCTGAGCGTCACCAGACCTCAGGCGAGGGGAGAGGTTGAGAAGGGGTGTCCTTTTTGGTAACCTCAGCCAGTGTGGGAATTGAACCCATGTTACTGGTATCAGTCCACATCAGAGACTGGCCACCCAGCCAACTGAACTAACTGACCTCTCCCATAAACAGTGCCTATGAAAACCTAAGGAGGTAAAGGACTTTTAAGTAGACCTTGGATTAGCCTTTTTCAAATTTTTGTAGTAAACCATTGCTACAATGTTTGTTGCGAACGAAATTTTGATTAATCTATTAAGATTTAGAAAAGAAATGTTGCTTTGTTCAGTTGATGCAGTAAGATTCTGTTCAAGCCCTACATTATAGAACAATGGCTAATCCAGGGATCAGTCTACACCCTGACAAAACACATCACTTTCATTTTGGCTAAAATTACTCGAAATAAAGCATGGCTGAATTCCAGATGCCTCCGTAAACCTCTTCCTGCTGAAAAAGAAATTATTGCTGCTCTTGTTCCCTCACCTCAGCATTTCTCCTGCCCCTATTAATCTCTGAGTGCCCTGGAAGATGGAGTTTCAATGGGAAGAGGGCTTTTGTCTTGTACTTGAGCTATCTTAGACTCAAACTGTCCTTCAGCATCACTTTGCTGAGCTCTACCATTCTACTGTGAACCAGGCTCTCAAGTGAATTTGTCTTTTCTGTCAAATTTTAACCTCTATGGTATACAATTCCAATCAAAACAACTCTTCTAGTTGAGGATGAATGATGCTATTACTGCACTAGCACTTTTAGAATTCAGTTTGTTTTCAGATTTTACTACTATACTTCTTATATCCCTATAATACTCCTTATACACACATGACTGGGTGGCCAAATTCTGTTCCAACTCCCATTTACAAGTTTGCTGACAACACCACCATCATAGGTCAGTTCTTAAACAATGATGAGACTTAATACAGGAAGCATGTTGTAAAGACAACAATCTCTCCATCAACATCAGCACAATGAAGCAGCTGGTCATTGACTTCAGGAAGGGGGATGGAAGGCACAGCCCTGTCTGCATCAATGGTGCTGTGGCGGAGATGGTCGAGAGAGTCAAGTTCCTGAGAGTGACGATCACCAACAATCTGTCCTGCTCCACCCACATCGACGTGATGGTCAAGAAAGCACAACGATGTCTCTACTTCCTCAGGGGGCTAAGGAAACTGGGAATGTCCATAGGAATCTCACAATTTTTTGTAGATGCACCACAGAAAGCATCCCATTTGGATGCATCACAATGTGGTTTGGCAACTGCTCTTCCTAAGACCATAAGAAATTACAGAGAGTTGTGAACAAAGCCCTGTCCATCACATTAGGCAGCCTTCCATCCATTGACTCCATTTACACTTCCCACTGCCTCGGGAAAGCAGCCAATATCATCAAAAACCCCTCCAGCCCTGGACCATTGTTCTGAACTTTTATTTCTCTACTTTCTAATTTCTTTTTCCCTCAGAATTTGTACTGAAAAATCTGCGCCTAGATACCTTTGTACTTAGGATGGCGCTGTGGTTGGTGACTTATAAACTTTTCAATGTAGTTATCTGAGTACCTGTGACAATAAAGTCAATTCAATTCAATTATATTCTCTTCCAGCCTCTTCCATTGGGCAAAAGACATAAAGATTTGAATACACACATGAACAGATTTAAGAACAGATTTTTTTCTGCTGTTATCAGACTTTTGAACAGACCTCTCAAATGTTAATTCTGATCTCTCTCTCTGCGGCTGTAATATTGTATTCAGCACTCTGTTTTGCTACCCTGATGCACTTTGTATGGTACAATCTGCCTGTATAGCATGCAAAATAACCCTTTCCACTGTATCTTGGTACATGTGACAACAGTAAACCAATCTATTTAATTTTCCTTTTGCATTGCTTTACATTTAAACTACAAAAGAACCCCAGCAGATTGATTTGGTGGGCAACAAAATGTACGACTTAACCAGACAGCTCAGCTGGATCCCATTTTAAGCCAGGTCTGTGGTGATTTAGAATGGATTGCTGAAACCAACAGTCTGACCAGGTCAATGAGAGAGACCAGAAGATCATCAAAAAGTAGGACATTCAGCCCCTCCATTCCTCATGTACTCTTTCCTGTCCTCTCCCCATAACCCTTGATTTCCCAATTGATCAAGAATCTCTCTGTCTCAGCTTTAAGTATACACAAGGACTCTGCTCCCACAGCTATCTGTGGCAAAGTGTTCCAAAGACTCACAATCTTCTGAGAGAAGAAATACCTCCTTATCTCAGTCTTAAATTGGTGCCCCTTTATTCTGAGACAATGTCTTCTGGTCCTAGACTCTCCCATGAGGGGGAAACATCCTCTCAGCATTTACCCTGTCAAGCCCTTTAAGAATCCTCTATGCTTCAATGAGATCACCTCTCATTCTTCTAAACTTCAGTGAGTAGAGTCCCAACCTGTTTAGCCTTTGCTCATAAGACAATCCCTCTACCAGGAATCATCCTTGTGAACATTCTCTGAACTGCCTCCCATGAAACAATATATTTCCTCAAATAAAGGGACCATAGCTGCTCAAAGTACTCCAGATGTGGTCTCACCAGCTCCTTGTACAGCTGCAATAATCCTTTCCTACTCTTATACTGCAATACCCTTGAAATAAGGGCCAACATTCCATTAGCCTTCTGGACTATCTGCTACACCTGTGTGCTAGCTCTTTGTGTCATACACAAGTACCCCAAATCCATATGTATGCAGCTTTCTGCAGTTTTTCCCCATTTAAGTTACACTCTGTTCTTTTGTTCTCCCTTCCAAAGTGAACAACTTCACATTTTCCCATGTTATACCCCATTTGCCAACTTCGTACCCACTTAGTTAAAACCTATCAAAATTGCTCTGTAAACTATTGCATCTCTCTCACAACTTGTCTTTCCACCTAGACAAAACCGGAATAAATTGATTGTAATTCCTTTTCCTTTATTCAACCATTTAACCCACTTTGAAAAATAAGCAGGAGAATACAATTGGGCTCCAGTGAATCTGGGTAGCACTGACGCTTCCAGGTCAGGAGCTGGAAAATTCAAATCTCATTCCAGTCCTTGAGTATCAAACTCAGATGCTGAGTCTCTGGTGCAGTAGTAGCAGTTATCTTTCTGAACAAGTTGTATAACTGAGACATTACCTGTCTGCTCAAGACAATGTAGAAGGTCCCATTGCACTGATTTAAAGCGGTGCAGGTGAATTAGCCTTGGTCAATATTTATTCCTCCAACAGCATTATACAAACATGATGTGGTCCTCATTACATTGCTGGTTGAAGAAGCCTGCCATGCACAAACTGGTGGCTGTGTTTCTTACAACAGTGATTCCCCTTCAGCAGTGCTTCACTTGCTGTACAACACGTTGTTGCAAGCTGCAGTTGTGAAAGGCACTATATAACTGCAAGTCCTTCTATCATGGGGTAAGCGATGCACTGGGATGCTGCGAAGTCTCAGTTTGAGCCATTGCTTTCTGTTAGGTTTCGAAAACATATCTGCATTATTTTTCTGTACGCTCATAGCTATGGGATTACTTTCTTAAATATTTGAACAGGTGTGGTTAGTTCTATTGTATTTGAAAAATCCTTACATCAACATGCATCCAAAGGTTGTGCTTTTCACAAATGTCTGCAATCTCATTGAGTGGATCAAATGCTCCATACACGGTAGTTCCAGCTGTAGCATTGATGTACAAAGGAACAAAACCCTGTAAACAAAACCTATAATTAGCTAATGTGTACAGGTTCATGCATACGACTTAAAAAATAGACTACTCCCATGAAACCGAAATTTTTTTTTTCCTTATTTGTCCATGAGAATGTATCACTGGCTCGGCCCAATGTTTATTATTAAAGTACAGTTATTGTTTGTGCAGGTGAGAGTCAACCAGATTAGTGTGGGTCTGCAGTCATATGTAGGCCAGACCAGGTAAGGATGGCAGATTTCCTTCCCTGAAAGGACATTAGTGAATCAGATGGATTGACACAGCAAACCACAGTGGTTATCTAGTCATCATTGGACTAGCTTTTTAATTCCAGATTTGTTTTGTTGAAATTGACCAGCAGTTGCAGTCAAACTTGAACCCAAGTCGCCAGGACATTAAGCTGAGAGTTTTTGATTCCAAGCCCAATGACATTACTATTATCCCACCACATCCCCTCAATCGCTTGGGAGCAGTTAGTCATGTTTTAATTTCAGATACATTTCTATTTGTTTCATGTTGAACTACTACAGTGTGTGACAAATCTATCTCTTTCATATATGGGAATTAAATGGATACAAGACAACACAATTTCAGGCATCAATATCTTGGGTTCCCAGATCATCAGATAAACCTGTATTCTCCAGATTTGGTGTTTGCTAGGAATAGGACCTCAGTTCATTACAAGTGCAAATGAAAAATTCAATGCCTGTTTTAGACTCCCTTCCAGAATCTGGATATGACAGAGTGGAGCAATACTGACCTGCAAGCAACAGTCTTTATCAAAAAGGCAGAATTGGTTTCTGGAGGAGCACAGCAGGCCAGGCAGCATCAAAGGAGCAGGAAAGTTGACATTTCAGGCCAAAAGTCCCCAGAGGTTGAGCCTGGATCTCTAAATTACGAACCCAGCAACATTACCATGATCCCACCACCTCAGTCAGGATTGAGTAAGTGAGCTCAAAGGGCTGTATGGTCTGTTCCCTCTCTCACTGATTATCAATCACAGTTTTACACCATGGAGAAAGGCCCTTTGGACCATCTTGCTTGCACCAGTTACCAAACACCTTTCTACTCTAACGAAAACAGAAACGGCTGCAAAAACCCAGCAACTGTGGAGAGAAAGTTAATGTTTCAGGTCCAGTGACTCTTCTTCAGAACTGATCCTATCTAGTCTAGTCCCATTTTCCAACACCTTTTCAGTAACCTTGCACACTATGGCATTTCAAGTATTAATCTAAATACTTCCTCGATGTTGTGATGGTTCCTGCCTCCTCCACCCTTTTCAAGCACTGAGTTCCAGATACCCTCCAAACTCTGGGTGAAAAGATTCTTCCTTAACTCTAAATCTCCAGTCTTTTGCCTTAAATCTACAGCTCTTGGTTATTGATCCCCTTATTAATCAGAGAAGTTTCTGTCTGTGCCCCTCAGAACTTTGTACAACTCAGTCAGGCCCCCATCAGCCTTCTCTGCGCTAAAAGAATCAACCCCACACAATCCTCATAATGGAATTGCTCCAGCCTGGGCAACCTCTTCTGAATCTCTTTACTCATGAGACATAGACAAGAACAGGAATACCATGGGAATTAATGGATGTGCAACAAATATTAGCTTTGCCAGCAACAACTAAATCTAGTGAACATAGAAACTAAAACTATCTTTATTTGTATACTGCCTTAGGTTTGTAATATATCTCAAGGTGTTTTATAGGACCACTACAAATAAAATATTATACTAGGCCACTCAATGAGATGTTAAGATAGTTGATGAGCAAAGTAGCCAACAAGGTAGTTTTTATGCAGTCTCTTGAAGGAGGAAAGAGACCAGGAGGTGGAGAGCTGTAGGAGGGGATTATGGACCATGGAGGACATGTCAACTGAAACCATGGCTCCTGATAATGGAATCAGACAACACCAGGTTATAGTCCAACAGGTTGATTTGAAATCACAAGCTTTTGAAGCACTGTCCCTTTGTCAGGGAAATGAAAGAAAAGCACTCAAGCACAGAATTTATAATCAGAGAGATCAAAAGATCATACATATGGTGTCAGTGGAGGGTCAACAAGTGAAATAATAGGTCTGTGCAGGTGCTCAACAGTGACTTCAAGTGATCAAGGGCCAACGTTCAGAAAGCTTGTGATTTCAAGTAAACCTGTTGGACTATAATCTGATGCTGTGTGACTTCCGATCTTGTCCACCCCAGTCCAACACCAGCACCATCACATTATAATCTCTGAGCCTGTGTGCTTCTCTCTCATTTCACCTGTTGAAGAGGCAGCACTCCAACCGCTTGTGATTTCAAATAAGCCTGTTAGACTATAACCTGGTGTCACCTCACTTCTGACCTTGTCGACTCCAGTCCAACACCGGCACCTCCATATCATCAATAACAGAGTGATTAAAATCGGGACAGCAGGCTTAGAAAGGTGTACATACCTCGGAGGGTTGTAGGGCTGGAAGAAGTTACAGAGATAGGAAGGGGACAAGGCCATGGATGGAAGGAAAAGCAAAAATGACTCATGGTAGGCTCATTCAGAAAGTAAGGAGGCATGGGATTCAGGGAAATTTGGCTGTCTGGATACAAAACTGGCTGTCCAATAGAAGACAGAGGATGTTAGTAGATGGAAAGTATTCAACCTGGAGCTCGGTGACCAGTGGTGTTCCGCAGGGATCTGTTCTGGGACGTCTGCTCTTTGTGATCTTTATAAATGACTTGGATGAGGAAGTGGAAGGGTGGGTTAGTAAGTTTGCCGATGACACAAAGGTTGGTGGAGTTGTGGATAGCGTGGAGGGCTGTTGTAGGTTGCAACGGGACATTGACAGGATGAAGAGCTGAGCAGAGAAGTGGCAGATGGAATTCAACCCAGAAAAGTGTGAAGTGATTCATTTTGGAAGGTAGAATTTGAATGCAGAATACAGGGTTAATGGCAGGATTCTTGGCAGTGTGGAGGAACAGAGGCATCTTGGGGTCCACGTCCATAGATCCCTCAAAGTTGCTACCCAAGTTGATAGCGTTGTAAAGAAGGCGTATAGTGTGTTGGCTTTCATTGGGAGAGGAATTGAGTCTAAGAGCCGTGAGGTTATGCTGCAGCTCTATAAAACCCTGGTTAGGCCACACTTGGAATATTGTGTTCAGTTCTGGTCACCTCACTACAGGAAAGATATGGAAGATTTAGAAATGGTGCAGAGGATATTTACCAGGATGCTGCCTGGACTGCAGGGCAGGTCTTATGAGGAAAGGTTGAGGGAGCTAGGGCTTTATTCATTGGAGCAAAGAAGTTTGAGAGGTGACTTGATAGAGGTTTACAAGATGATGAGAGGCATAGATAGAGCGGATAGTCAGAGACATTTTCCCAGGACGGAAATGACTATTACAAGAGGGCATAATTTTAAGGTGATTGGAGGAAGGTATAGGGGAGATGTCAGAGGTAGGTTCTTCACATAGAGAGTGTTGGGTGTGTGGAATGCGCTGCCGGCAGTGGTAGTGGAGTCAGATACTTTAAAGACTTTTAAGCGACTCTTGGATAAGCACATGGAGGATAGTAAAATGTAGGGTATGCAGGGTAGATTGATTTTAGTAGGATAATAGGTCGCCACAACATTGTGGGCCAAAGGGCCTGTACTGTGCTGTACTGTTCTATGTTCTATGTTCTAACAGGTATCAATGGAATAACAAACTGATGATGTAACTGCTCTTTGTGGACTTTGGTGTATTCAGAAACATCACTGCGTTAACAACCATTAAACTTCAAAAGCATTGAATTGGCTTTGAATTACTTTGATGTTGTTCTACGTGAGTGGATAAACAGCTGTCTCAAGTATAAAAAGACATTTGCTTTGTGCTTTCTTGAAAGCAATCTGTTTTTGTTTTTCCCTGTCTTTAACTCTATTGTTCTGTTTTAGTGCCCTATGCTAACTTTGGTTATCTTACAGTCACCATGCTACGTTAGTGGCAATTTTTTTTAAAAGGTACTCTTCAAAGACTCGGATGTTTTTCTGTTTTCAGAAAAATACTGATATCCGTTTATCTCATTTAAGTTTTCAGATTGTAAAAGTTATTTGGTTTGACTATGCATTAAGGCTCTACCATAGAGTGAGATAAAAGAAACTAAATTTTGTTGACAACTGAAGCTACGTTTTATTCAAGGATAGCTTTAATTTATCTAACTGACTTCCTAGGGTTTTGTCATTAGTTACAGGAAAGAAAGGGGAGTGAGGAAATGTCTTTGGGCCAATAACTGGGAATCCCAGACTATTTTACTGAGCTCATGGATTCAAATCCTATCGTGGGAAAGAGCTAATTAACGATGATTGCATCATCATTGTCAATTGTCAGAAAAAAATCTGTTTCACAAATGTCCTTTCAGTAGGGAAACCTGCCATCCTTAACCAGGTTGACCTACAGGTGACTCAAGGCTAATGTCATGTGTCAATGAATGTGGAGTTGGATGAACACAAAAGGTCAGACAGCATCAGAGGAGCAGGAAAGTCAACGTATCAGGCCAAAACCATTTGTCAGTGTTTGAAGGGTAGATAGGGTGGCGATACAGGTAGGGGGGTTATGGCGATTGGTCAGTGGGAAGGGTGGAGCAGATAGGTGAGTAGGAAGATGGACAGGTTAGGTCAGGTCAAGGAGGTAAAAGGACGGGGAGGGCTGGAAATGGGATAAGGCTGGGGGTGGAGGGATTTTGAAGCTGGTGAAGTCAGTATTCAGGCCATTGGGCTGTCAGCTCCCAAAGCGAAATACCAGGTGCTGTTCCCCTAGTTTATGTTTGGACACACTCTGACAGTGGAGTAGGCCAAGGATGGACATGTCGCCAGGGGAGTGGGAGGGGGAATTTAAATGGACGGCAACCAAAAGGTCAGGTTTTTTGGTGCATGCAGAGAGCACTTGCTCCGCGAATCAGTCCCTGTGTCTGCGTTTGGTTTCCCTGTTATATAGGAGACAACATCAGGAGCTTATCATCCCACCTACCTTTCCCCAGCCCTACCCTCATCCCTGTATTTATT